ACCCCCCTCCTGGAGCCCCTGAGAGTCACCCCTGCTGAGCAGCAGCGCTCTCTCCTTTGATCTCAGGGCTGGCCGGCCCCAGCCGGCCGCAGGAGTCATTGTTTTGTGTACACAGCTCATCTCCGCACAGTTTGGGGCTGTACATCTGGTGGCCTCAATGTTGACTGCTCACTCCACAAACACTCTTTGAACCTCTGTGATGTACCAAGAACTTCCATGCCCCCAGAAAGTCTCGGCTGCATGTTCCGCAACCCGACCTTGCCGTCACCCGGGGTGGTCTGGCGCGGAGCACTGTGGTCCACCGGAGGGCGGTTCTGGTCAGAGGTGGTGACACCCGAATGGATCAGGGTGAGCACTGACCCCTGGGGGGGGGACAGCGTGGAGAGGGGCGGGGCGGCATTCAGCAGGATCAGAGGTGGGAAGTGAGGGCGACCTGACGAGAGAGGTGGGGTCAGCCAGGGTTCGAGGCTGTAGGAGCAGAAAGTCAATGGTGGGGCTGGGAGCTGAGGCTGAGCAGCCGGCAGGGGCGGCCGAGGGCTGTCTTCTTTGCCCTCAGGGTAAACCCGTGAGAGAGTGAGTGGGGGGCGGTCAGGGACACACACACACACACACACACACACACACACACACACACGGAAAAGGGGGGCGGAGTGGGCCCTGAGTGTGAGACCCTAACAGCAGGGACAGCGTCAGGCTGGGGTCAGAAAGGAGGCCTTGGGGGGTGGGGGTGGGGGGCTCCCCCTTGCAGTGACCCCCATGAGCGCCAAACTGACTGCAGGCCTGGGCTCGCAGGCTTACACGCGCCGGCCCAGCAAATCTTTTGCCCCAGGCGCTGACCTGGCAGGGCGCTGCCCGCTATACCTGGGGGCCGGGCCACCTGGCGCAGCGCTCTGGGAAGGTGAGTGCGACCCCAAAACAAGGCCGCGGCTGGGGGCAGCCGGGATCCCCCACCCCCACCCCCATTGCTCTTTGCACTCGGGATGTTGAGGGCAGGGGCGAGGGTTGGGGGCAAACTGTTGCTTGAGGCGCCCTTTGCATTTGACCAACCCAAGCAATGTTGGCTGAATTTCTTAACAAAAGGGGCGGCCTGGCCTGGCAGCTCCATTGGTTAGAGCATCCTCCCACTACACCAAGGTTGTTGGTTTGATCCCGGGCCAGGGCACATACAAGAACCAACGAATGGTCCTGGCCAGTTTGCTCAGTGGATAGAGCCGTCAGCCTGCGGACTGAAGGGTCCTGGGTTCCATTCCGGTCAAGGGCGCATGCCTGGATTGCAGGCTGGATCCCGGTAGGGGGCGTGCAGGAGGCAGCCATTCAATGATTCTCTCTCATCATTGATGTTTCTATCTCCCTCTCCCTCTCCCTTCCTCTCTGAAATCAATAAAAATATATTTTAAAGAAAAAGAATCTACGAATGAATGCATAAGTGAAATAATGAATCTCTCTCTCTCTCTCTCTCTCTCTCTCTCCCTTCCTCTCTGCTGTGGGAGGTGGGGAGGTCTCCTCCCCAGCCCCTCCGTCACTGGCTCTGGGGCCCCAGCCCACTCCCTCAAGTCAGGAGCAGGGAGGGTTAGGGTCAGACCTGAGAGGGGCCTTGGCTGGGGTGGAGGAGACTTGGCTTGTCCTGCAGCCCCTGGGTCCCACTTCCCTGCTGAGGCTGGTCTGTGTGGCTGCTCTCACCTGAGGCTGGTTCTCTGCAAAATGCTGAGATTTGAGGGACTTGGAATCCTGTGGGTGACCAGCTCCCCCTGAATATCTGGAGGGAGCCCTTGACCCGACCTGTCTGGTACATGAAAGTGGCAAGTTTGGATCTCTACCCCTTCTCTAGCTCCCCATCCTGGCTACTCTGATGTCACCAGGGGCTACATTCAAGGTTTCTGAATCAGTCTGCATGGGCTAGGTTATGCTTCAGTGACAAACAGCCCCAAGACCCCGAGACTCACACCTTCCCGTGAGCCCCTGAGGGAAAGTGAGAGGGGGTGATGGTGCCCTGGCTCTCGAAGCTTCCACACCCACACTCATCCCTGTGGCTGAAGCATGCGCCTCACCTCACTCCAGGGTACAAGAGGAGCAGTGCTTCTGTGGGTGGCAGGTGACGGCACCCAGGTCTACAAGGGGTACGGGCCCCAGGTAAGTAACATCACTTGTACTTTGCCAGGGCCCTTTTAGGAGCACAAACTGGAAACCCAAAGAGTTTCTGGATGGTTGGAATGTTCGGTTCCTGGGCTGAAGGTGAGTTCGGGGGTTGGGGGTCATGTTTAGTCCGGGGACAAGAAGAGCCCGTCAGTGCTGCAGCGCCACAGGACACTGTGCCCGAACGCCGTAGGGTGTGAGGCTCCGGCTCTGACGCGCTGCCACCCAAAGCAGGGCCTGGTGAGCCAAGGGACGGGGATGCTGAGAAGCCCGTCTGGGCCATGAACCCCAGCCAGGCCCTGACTCCGCCGTGGGGTTCAGTCTCTCTGAGGAAGGGACCCGGAACCTGACTTTCTGAACACGGAGTGCTGGCTTAGGATAGTGGGTTATGGGGAAGTGTCAGCTTTTGAAAACATTTCCTTAGATGTTATGTTTTAATAATAAACAAAAATTGAGTTTAAAAAATGCAGTGGGAGTTTGGAAAAAGCCCAATTTCAATGGAGCCCCCAGACAAAGGGGCAATCCCTGCCCCACGCACCTTCTGGAATGTCTGCTCACTGAGCTCCGGGCGGAGGGACGTGCTCTGGGTCTGGCCGGCCCCTCCACCCAGGCGTCCTTCCACCCGCTCAGCAGAAGGCGCAGAGCCCCTGCTGTATGCAGCAGCCTGGGCTTCAGTGGCCCGGCCTCAGGGTCCAGCCCAGGGTGCTGGGTGCCAGGTGTCTGCTCCCAACACTGAACAGAGAGAAGCCTGTGACCTGCGCCCCCTCTTCCTCCCCCCCCCCCCCCCCCCCCCCCGCCTTTCCAGGTCACTCTCTGTGAGGGTAAGCACCTCACGGGGCAGAAGCTGGAGGTCTCGGGGCCTGTGACACCTTCCAGGACCGAGGCTTTGTGAACCGGGTGAACTCCATCCAAGTGGGGAGCAAAGCCTGGGTCAGCCTCACCCACCCCAACTGCCGGGGCCAGCAGTTCGTCCTGGAGCCGCGACCACCCCAATTTCTTCTGGTGGAATGGCCACGACGACCACATGGCTCCTGTCGGCCTGTGGGAATGCAAGTGGCCACTGCACCCCGGGGCGTTGGGCCAGATGACTGAGGCTCAGGCCTGGCCCGACATGGGACAGTAATGAGGGGGCACGGCTCTCCCAGCTTTAAGAGCTGACGGGCCCTACCAGGTTTGGCTCAGTGGATAGAGCGTCAGCCTGTGGACTGAAGGGTCCTGGGTTTGATTCCGGTCAAGGGCACATACCTGGGTTGCGGGCTCGATCCCCAGTGTGGGGCATGCAGGAGGCAGTCAATCAATGATTCTCTCTCATCATTGATGTTCCTATCTCTCTCTCCCTTCCTCTCTGAAATCAATAAAAATATATCTAAAAAATTTTTTAAAGCATGATGTAATTAAAAAAAAAAAAAAAAAAGAGCCCTGACCGGTTTGGCTCAGTGGCTAGAGCGTCGGCCTGCGGACTGAAGGGTCCCCGGTTCGATTCCAGTCAAGGGCATGTACCTTGGTTGCGGGCACATCCCCAGTAGGGGGTATGCAGGAGGCAGCTGATGGATGTTTCTCTCTCATCGATGTTTCTAACTCTCTATCCCTCTCCCTTCCTCTCTGTAAAAAATCAATAATATATATATATAAAAAAAAGAGCTGACAGGGCCATAGCCGTTTAAGCCGGAGGGACAGGCCGCACAGACCCAGCCACTCCCGTGTGCGTGGGATGCTGGGAACCCGGTGGGAGAGCCCTGGCCCTTTTATGCCTGTATTTTCAGGCATGTTTCAGGAAAGCTCTCACATTTCTGATCCCAAAATCTTGCTGAATTTTCAGCTTAAAATGCTGCTGGAAATACTAGAAGTTTGGCTTTGCTACCAGATGGGGGAGCTCGTAGCTGTAAAGCAGTGGTTCTCAACCTTGGCTGCACATTAGAATCACCTGGGAATCTTTTGAAAATCCTGATTTCTGGGCCTCATCCTCCGGAAATTCTGTTTCTTTGTTACTAATGTTGTGGCCCCACCCCATAACAAAGAAACAGAATTTCCGGAGGATGAGGCCCAGAAATCAGGATTTTAAAAAGATTCCCAGGTGATTCTGATGTGCAGCCAAGGTTGAGAACCGCTGCGTAAAGTAAGGCTGCTCTGGGCCTGGTGCGTCCCCCAGGCAGGTCCTCTTGCAAAGAGCATTTTTCAAAACCCTTCGGTGCTCTGAGGCGGAAAAGAGGGTGGGGAAGCTCCATCCCGGACAGTAAGCGTGATTTGGGGGCAGGAGCCCACAGGAGCTGCCATCATAGTGTGTGTAGGTCCTCCCGACTGTGTGTCTAGTTGTCCCCAAGGCGGGATTTGAGGGCTGGGTGTTCCCATTCCTTAGGATTTTCCCAAGTCACAATTCCTAACCGTCCTGCTGTGAGTTCTGGGAGGCCTGGTGGGAAATGGCTGATGCCTGAAACCAGGGTGAGCGGCTTGCAGGGCTGGGGGTGCTGGTGAACATCTGAGGAGCCTGGAGAAGGGGCCTCCTGTCTGGGGTTACCCTCTCTTTTCTTTTCCTTGTCTATGTATATAAAATCCTAAGCTACCGGCCGCCCGGCGGACTGGCTGACCGGCCTACCGGCCAGTAGGCATGACACACACTGACCACCAGGGGGCAGACGCTCAACGCAGGAGCTGCCGAGCAACAGCAACTTTGCAGAGTGCCCTCTCGCACTCTGGGACCCCTGGAGGGATGTTGGACTGCCGGTTTCAGCCCGATCCCCACAAGCCAGGCCAAGGGACCCCACCTGCTGGAGGGACCCGCTCCCTCCGCAGACACCCTTCAAGCCATGGTGCTGCCCCAGGTGCGGCCAGCTGGGGAGGGACCAAGGGAAGTTGGCTCCAGGGTGTGTCTGGCCCATTTCTCCCAGTCCCGCCCCGCCAGCCACCTTCTAATTAATTTCCTTTCAATGTGCACGAATCCATCACCGGGCCTCTAGTTTTTAAATATATTTTTATTGATTTCAGAGAGGAAGGGAGAGGGAGAGAGAGAGATAGAAACATCAATGATGAGAGAGAATCATTGATTGACTGCCTCCTGCACGCCCCCTACTGGGGATTGAGCCTGCAACCCAGGCATGTGCCCTTTACTGGAATGGAACTCGGGACCTTTCAGTCTGCAGGCCCACGCTCTATCCACTGAGCCAACCCGGCCAGGGCATACCCTCTCTTTTCTACGGGCTTGCAAAACCAGCTGGGATCTGGCAGCTGACATTGTGAGAGCAATTTCTCAGGGTTACCACCAGGCCACCGACATAAAGGAATGTACATGGCTGGCCCGGATCTTGCATAATGCGATTTGTATGAGAAACATCTTAGGTATCTTTCGAATGATCTTCTCCTAAGAGCTGCCCTCCGGGCCAGCTGTGCCGCAGACCCAGCCCCCCCACGGCCAGTTGGGCCTCTGTCCTTCGGATCACGGAGATTCTTGGAGGGAGATCTTTGTCCTTGTCTCAGGGACGCAGCAGGCATTCAGCAAGATCTCTGCGTTTGCTTTAGACTTTGGCTTCATGTTTTAACAAAAGGTTCTATTATAGTTTGTAAAATATTATCATTTAAAGGCTTGCTCCAAGGCAG